GGCCGAGAGCGAGGAGGAGCCCTCGAGGATCGAAAGGTCCCCCGGGGTGCCCTCCGCTCCCCTGGAGAAGTGATGCAGCGCTTTCCGCCGATCTCTTTGTTGCCCGCGTCGGCTTCCATCTCTCGTGGTTCTCTGCCTCCGGAAGCCGCCCCAGGCCTCGGGACCGTCCAAGACGGGCCCGGGTTGAAAGACTGCACCCATGGTGCAGGGAAGTCCAATCGGACTCGCAGGTCGTCGCCAGCAAATCATGCAGCTCTTGCAGGTCGTGTCCCGGTCGCCCAACTTCGCGCCCCGCGCCTCGCGACGCGCGGTCATCTTCGCGCTCTCGCACCTTCGCGCCCGCCCCCCTCGGGAAATCTCACCCGCTCTGGCCCAGGCCGCGACGCGCGAAGCGAGGCTCTCTTCGCGCCCCTGGAGGTGACCTGCTGTCTCGTCGAAAAAGCCGTCCGGGGGACTTCCCCGGGGACAGTTTTCCATCTCGGGCCCGCTTCTGACGACTCCAGGGGGCCCAAAAGCAGCCTCCCCGCGGGGGCCGAGGCCGACGAGGACGGCAAACACCAGAGCAGAATCTCAACGAAAAGGCTGCCTCGCGGGTCCAAGGCAGCGCAGGTGGCCCCCGGAAGACACGAGGCGCTCCTTTTGGACGCCCGAAATGGGTACGGAAAGAATGGGTACAATGCCCAACAACAAATGTTGTTCCAAACCCACAGCGGCCGCTGTTGGGCAGGCGGCCGTCTGTCTCGAACGGACACAGGCCGCGGCGGCGTGGACAGCGAGTCCTGCTCAAAATGAACAAGATCCGCTGTTCGGCATTGTACCCATTCTTTCAGTACCCATTTCGGGCGTCCAGCGGTGGCCCCCGCGGGCGAAGCCAGGGCGGCTCTCGGCCAGGGTGGCTCGGCCCGCAGGAGGGCGCGCGGCCCTTCTAGGGCGAGGACGGAGGGTCTCCCCCATGGGCTGCCCGAGGTGGCTTCCTGGAGGCCACGACTCGCCATCGCTCGGACGTCCATTCCCTGTGTTTTTTTTCGGTTTCGTGCGTAGTTTTTTTCGTTAAATGATCAAGGATGCTACTCGATGGTCCTCGCCGAAGGAAAAATGCACACGTCCGAGCGATGCCAAGACGAGGTGCCCCCCAAGATGGTCCATGGTTCAACAGAAGCCGCCCAGAGGAGCCCAGGGCTCTCCGTGGCCCACGGGGAGGTCGGAGCACCCCTCCGAGCGCCCCTAAGACAGCGCCCAGAGGAGCCAGAGCCTCGGAGAACCCCGCACACCACTGGGACCCTCCCCGAGAAGCGGGCCCCGTCTGGCAGCACCGCCTGAACCTCGAGCAGCAAGTGGCCCCGAGGCGGCTCGGCGAGGCCCTGGGGTACGGCCCCCCCACAGGCGGCCCAACTGGACGTCGCTCGGCCTGGGGGGCCAGCGGAGGGCGGGCCAGCGGGGGGCGCGTGGCCCCTCGGAACCACCATCCACGCCGCGGGCCCACGCGCAGCCCAGCCGGACGGGCATGCCAGCCCACATCGCGCCAGCGAGTGTCGGCTGCGGCCTCGATCGGTTTTTGAGGAATGTCGGTTTTTGGAGGACTCCTCCTAAAATCCTTCGTGGAACATTCCTCCATATTTTTTGTGTGAAAGGTCTATGGAGGATTCCTCTGAAAAAAATACCGTCTTTAAACATTCCTCAGGAAGGTTTTTGGAAGGTGTTTGAAAGATTCCTCCTGGAAACCTTCCTTAAACCTTCCGCAGGCAGGTTTCTGGAGGGTTCATTGCAAAGAGCCTTCCTAAAACCTTCATCTTGAAGGTTTGTTGGAAAGTTTTTGGACGGTTCCTCCTACAAACCTTCCTAAAACCTTATTCGGGAAGGTTGTTGGATTTCTCTTAAAAGCTTTCCTAATACCTTCCTCCAGAAATGTGATGATTTATTTTAAAGGTTTGCCTTGGAAACCTTCCGGAAATGGTTTGGAAGATGTCTAAATGATTCCTCCTGAAAGCCTTCTGAAAACCTTCCCCAGGATGGTTTTGAAGGCTTTGGGGTGATTCCTCGCAAAATCTTTTTCAAACCTGCATCAGGAAGGTTTTGCAAAGGTTTTTGGCGGAGTCCTCCTAAAACCTTCCTCCGGAAAGTAGTTGGAAGGTTTTTGGAGGACCTTCCCCAGGAGTGTTTCGGGAAGGTTGTTGGCAGATTCCTCCTACAAACCATTCTAAACCTTCCTCAGAAAGGTTTTTGGAAGGTGTTTTAGAACATTCCTCCTACAAGCCTTCCAAGAACGTTTCTCCGGAAGGTGTAAGGTTCTAGTAAGATGTTTGTTTAAACTGTCCTAAAACCTTCCTCAGAAAGGTTTTTGCAGTTCTCCTCTGAAAGACCTACTTGACACCTTACTCAGGGAGGCTTTTAGCAGGTCTTATAGGGTTCCTCCTAAACACTTTTCTAAAACCTTCCTTAGGGCAATGTTTGAGAGGTCTTTGGGGGGGAATCTGTGGACGCAGTGGCTTGAGGGCGCCGTTGCCATGGCTCAGGTGGTTGTGGTTGCAACGAAGCAGGCGGAACGACGCGGGCGTTGAAGCTTACAGAGGCATCGGATGAGATGTCGTGGTACATGGACTGCTCTGGACAACTGAGGCGAGTTGGGATGAATGCGGAAGTGTGTTACCGAAACGGCTTAGGTGGTTGTTGATGGGATGCCCCAGGCTGCATATGACTCCCAAGAAGCCGTCCATCTGCCCCCCTCTGTGCGTGGCCGAGTCTGACTGCGGTCTCACCCCCTCGCTTCCGACCGAGCTGAAAAGGCGGGGGGCGCCCGAGAAGCAGGGGTGCTTCTACGAAGCCTTCCCCCCCCCTCCCCCCCACACTCCCTCGGCGCGTGGCCGAGGCTCCCTGCGATCTCGCCCCTGGAGACGGCCTGCTCGATGGCAGCCATCGCTGCCGCGCGGTGGAGACGCACCACATCTACACAACACAGCGCGCAGAAGCAATGAAGAACTGAACTCTCCCTAGCCTGAGTGGGCGCGCGCATGCCGCCCCAGGACCACCTCGGCACGCCCCTCGCGCGCGTCGTGACCCCCATACGGAGCTCCACCTACGGCCCCAATGGAGACACGCGTGTGCCGATCCGGGCCCATTCCGGCACTTGCTTCGCATCCTGCGCACCCAATGGGCGCGCGCGCATGCCCCCTCCCCCGCCTATTTCACCACACCATTCCCAAGGATCGCGGTCCACTGGTACCTGAACTTTCTAGTGCGCGTAGTATATGCGGAGAGTGTCACGCCCTGCGCTACACGCAGCTGCATGGAGTTGGGATCCTGGCCAAGCTAACTCTGCAAAACGTCCGATATCGGGGAGGTTGGATGATAGAGCATACAGGCTGAAGGATGCACATATGTATAGGTGTATGCAGAACTGTGGAGAATGCGCCGACCCTGTCGGCGTGTAGAAGACGCTATTCCGTTGGTTGTCGTCGTCGTCGTCGTCGTCGTCATCGTCGTCGTCGGCGTCGTGTCGTCTCCGTCGTCGTCTCCGTCTTCGTCTCCGTCGTCGTCTCCGTCTCCGTCGTCTCCATCTGCGTCGTCTCCTCCTCGTATCCATCAATCGTCTTCTCCGTCGTCCCCCGTCTCCTTTCCCTGGGCCCTCCTCTTTAGGCGCGCCAGCCAAACCGACATTGAGCAACGTCGTAGCTGAGTCGAGAAGAACGACCCTTCCCTTTGATCCCTTCCCAGGGGGGGGGGGCGGGGGGGGGTCGCAGAGGGGCGGGCCGCTACCCAGATACGCATCCCTCCTGGGCGGTTCCGGGGCCTAGAGAAGCCCCAAGACGCGGCAAGAGTGCCCCAAAGAGGCCCCGAAGACGGTCCTCGAAGGCCCCGAATCGCCGCACTATCGGTCCAAGGCGCTAAAGTAGCCCCCAGACGGCTCAAAAGGCTTCCAAAACGCCCCAAGAGGCCTCCAAGAGCACTCCCAAGAGAGCCCCAAGGAGCAACATGTCAAAGATTTTGGCGTTCTCGCCTTGTCAGCTTCCCGACGGACGCTCCAAGACAGCCCGAGAGGCCCCCAAGATTGCCCAAGAGGCCTCCAAGAGGGCCCCAAAACGACCCACGAGGACCCCAAGACCGCCCAAGAGGCCTCCAAGACAGCCACAAGAGGCCCCCAAGATGGCTCCAAGAGGGAGCCCGCCCAGACGGGGGACCCGAGTGGACAGACATTTCGAGCCCTCGGCCTGAGAGGCTCCCAAGAGGCCCTCAGAGGCCCTCAAGAAGCCCCCCAAGAGGCCCCCAAGAGACCCCCAGGAAGCCCCAAGAGGCCCCCGCGAGGCTCCCAAGAGGCCCCCAAGAGCCTCCCAGGAGGCCTCAACACTATCCCCAAGAGGCCCCCGAGAGCGCTCGTCGTCGTCGTCGTCGTCGTCGTCGTCGTTGTTGTCTTTGTCGTCGCCGTCGTCGTGGTCATCGTCGTGGTCGTCGTCGTCGTCGTCGTGTTCGCCGCCGCCGCCGCCGTCGGTGTCGTCGTCGTCGTCGTCGTCGTCGTCGTCGTCGACGTTGTCGTGGTCGTCGTCGTGGTCGTGGTCGTGGTCGTGGTCGTAGTCGTCGTCGTGTTCACCGCCGCCGCCGTCGTCGTCGTCGTCGTCGTCGTCGTCGTCGTCGTTGTCGTCGTTCAGGGTATTCGGCTCCAGCCGTAAGGCCTCTCTAATCAGTGATGGAGGATGGCAGGTTGAGATTGCGAGAGGGTGGAGAGTGAATGGTGGAGAGAGGGAGGGTGTGGAGGGTGAGAGATGGACGAGGGGGAGTGAACAATGGATGAGGGCGAGGGGGTGATAATGATGAGTGGACAGAAGACGGATATGGTCGAGGGTGGGTTAGGGAGGGTGGAGAACTGAGGACGGTGGAGAATTTAGGATTGAGGGTGGAGAACGGCTGATGGAGGGTGGGTGCGGACGGACGGTGGCGGGTGGAAGGATGGAGGATGGAAGGATGGCAGAAGGAGTGGGAGAAAGAACAGCTCGTGAGCCTGTCGGATCAAATTTTAGACTTGCGACCCGCTGGACATCCGCCACTACGGCATGCGCGAATTCGAGTAATTCTGGTGCGGCGGCAGGCACTGGGTGGACAAACGTGTGCATCTCGCGGTTGTCCCTCCTTCCCCCTACGCCCGTCCTTCCCCTTGCGGGGCGAGGGAGAGGAGGGGAGCAAGGGTACGCGTAGCCCGAGTCCCATACAAAACTCCAAGCTCTGGCGGGCGCCCCCCTCCCCTCCCGCCGACAGACCCAAACCGATCTCCGTCGCGGGCAACTACCGCTCGACGGGGGGCGCTCCAACACACGGCGCGGTAGGTAAACGAGGCGAGGCTGGTACCCGTCGGGGGGGGGGGGGGGGGCCCTCCACGCAACTTGCGAAACGCAAAAGATGAGTCTGGGTTTGTCCGCCAGGGAAGGGGGGTGGAGGAAAGCATGCCACGAGGCGGCCAGGGCAGGCACGCAGGGCCCGGCCTGGCAGCCAGGCGATGGCGCAGAGGCGCTGGCAGAGGGGAGCAGATGGCCGCTGGGCGGCAGGGCGGGCGGTGGTTACCGCTCATACCTTCGTCTCGTGGCGCCCACGCGCTCCTTTGTCGCGATGGGCGGGGGGGCAGAAGAGCACACCACCTGTCCCTCCCTCCGCTCTCCGGCCGCCGATCCTCAGAGCGCGTGCCGGCGCCAACGTGTGCTTCTGCGCCGAGGCCCTTCCAGACGACGCAGGCGGCACAACGAGGGCCGATGCAGACTGCGCGCTCGGCGGAGCCGAACGGAGGAACGCACGCTTGGGCTAAGACACGTCCGGAGAACCATCGATCGGGGCCCCCCTCGGGCCCCCCTCCCGACCTTGCCATCGCTCGAACGTGCGTTACCCGTGCATGTTTCGATGTTGTGCGTGCTCTTGTCGCACGATGACCCAAAAAGCTCCTCGATGGTCCTCGCTTAGAGGAAAAAATACCAGCCTGGAACATATCCCTATCCCTATGCTGGGCATCGCCTCATCACGATGCCAATCTCAGGGATTCCCTTAGGTTTTGTGGGCGCATCCCTAAGATTGTCATCGCCTTTAGGCGTGTCAATCTTAGGGATCGGGATAAGTTCGAGGCTGGTGAAAAATCCACACGCCCGAGCGATGCCAGGACACCGGGACACTGCTGGCCAGAACCTCGAGACGCCCGCCCGCGGAGGGCGAGGCCGGGAGAGCGCCGAGCCCCCCCGGCTGCAGCAGCCCTGGGCGCGCCACTGCCCTGGCTGGTCCGTGCCCCCGTCGGCGGGGCCTCTGTGGATGGGCCCGTGTGCCACCACCACCGGCGGAGGAGGAGGAGGAGGAGGAGGAGGAGGAGGAGGAGCAGGAGGAGGAGGAGGAGGAGGAGCAGGAGGAAGAGGAGGAGCAGGAGGAGGAGGAGGAGGAGGAGGAGGAGGACCCCCTTCCCCTCGTGCCTGTGGTGATGGCGGTGGGGAAGCAGACCCACCGTCTGTACCAGTGTCCCCGTCCGGGGGGGGGGGCCCAGAGCGCCTCGCGGAGGAGGTCCCTGGAGTTATGCTGCTCCTACCGTACTTAAGGATCACATCCCAGAAACAATTTCGAGCACCCAGCAAGTGTCGAAAGAGTATCGAAACAGTGTCGAAGCAGCGTCGGGCAAGTGTCTTCCAGGGCCCGACACGCGAAAAACCCTCGAGGTTTTGGGTGCTCTCTGGTGCTCGATATTCTTTCTGGCGGTCAAGGCTAAAGTAGGTTGGAACATCATACTGGCCATCGCTCGGACGTCCATTCCCTGTGCTTTTGTTCGGTGTTGTGCGTGGCTTTTTCGCCAAATGATCAAGGATGCTCCTCGATGGTCCTGGCCGAAGGAAAAATGCACACGTCCGAGCGATGCCAAGCTGGAGGTCTCGGGAGCAGGGCGGAGCCTGAGCGGCGCTCTTCGCTTTCGTTGTGCTCTCGGTTTCCCTCGCTCCTGTCTCGGGTCCACCTTTACTAGGGGGAAAACAAACCTACCTCGCTTTTGACCACCCTCGCTTCCAAGAGATGCCAAGCGATGCCAAACCACGGCCTGCACTGGTCAGGCCGCTTGACGAGGAGGCGCGTGGTACGACTTGGTTCTTCCTTGAAGCGAAAGCGGGGTAGGTAATTCACGCTCTGAGTTCAAGACGAGGTCTAAACGAAAACGGCCCACGCAAGCGCCAAAAACACACCGTGGAGGTCCAGCCCTGCTCCGGAGGTCCAAAGGCCTAAGTGGGGTATGTCCCCCTGGAGGCGGATTCTGGAAGGGAGGAGGCATCAAGGTGCAGCCCAGAAGAAGCAACAAGAGCGCGGCAAATCGTGACCTGACTGCTCCTCCTGGTTCTTGCCTTGCTCCTCCTGCAGAGGGGGGGCTCACCCTTCCCCTGCGGTTTATGCGGGAAGGCGAGAGCCAGGTGTGCCTGCTCTGCCCCCCCGCGTAAGGGCCGTATTCCGGAGGCAGTCGCCGTACCCCGACACGTTCTTGAAGGGGTGGTAGGCGGCGTGCGAGCGGTCCTCGCAGGAGGTCCAGCCCTCGGGCGGGTCGCAGTGGTCCTCCACCAGGAGGCGGAAGTCGCTGTCGCGCTGGAGCTTCAGCACCCGGCTCAGGCACTGGTCGATGAACATGTCCTCCCCCCAGGCGCAGTCTCCCGAGCACAGCTCCGTGAAGTGGTCCACGCACTTCTCTGACCCCAGGGCCCACGCCTTGACCGCGTTCCTGGTCAACGCGCAGGGAGCCAGAACGACCGAACGAATGAGCCCGATGCCCACTGTGTCAAAAAGGCCGCGATGCCCACACATCGCCCGAATGTGGCTACGCTCATGCCTGACCGAACACGTTTCTAGATTCTCCTGGCTTCACGGTACTCCCACTCCAGAATCGATACGATTGGCTAGACATCCGCTGACTATGTCGGCGTGTGAAGGAATGACGGCCTCCCTTCTAAAGTAATGAACGCGTACCCACTTTAGTTCTGGTAAGCCCTGGGCTGGAACGGGAGGAGGGGAGGATAGGGAGGGAAGGGGAGGAGGAGAATGAGGAGGGAAGAGGAAGAGGATGAGGAGTAGGTGGGAGGATGAGGGCAGGAGGCACGCGACGACCTCGACAGCGACAACGACAGGCGTCAATCATAACGGATAAAGGCTTTCTCGGACCCGTCGCTCTGGGAGCCTGCGGAAGGCCTCTCGGAGCCATCTCGGGGCCCTCCTGGGGCCATCGTGGGAGCTTCTTTTGGGTCCGTTCACTCGCTCGCCGCACGTGACACTCGCGCGCCCGACGTTCTGGAGCGCTTCCCGGCCCAGCTGCACGTGGTGGTGCCAACGCAAATGGTGGGCAGAGCGGTTGCCCCGGCACCCGGTCTCTTGGGGACCTCCTTGCCGGCCCTGAGGGCGGCGACCGACTGCCCCGCCTGGCCTCTGTCGCTCTCCTCCGTGGACCGGTGGGCGGCCCAGCCACGGCCAAGTCCGGCTGCATCACGCTCCGGACAGGGCCCTCGGTCGAGCGCTGGGCGGCGCTGCAGGCCGTGGCCTGCCGCCTCGGCCTCGAGGCCCTTCGTGCCACCTCTCCCTCCCGCCCCCCAGGCGAGGCGAAGCCCTCTAGAGCAGCACACCCCTATGGCTCGGATAGGCCGCGTATAGGTAGTGTGCACCACCCGTAAGGGCCACTTACAAGTAAGTAAGGCCCCTAACGCAACGCAGTCGAATCCAGCCGCAGGCGTTCAGCGACTGCTCCGGGGAGGCGCTGGGCGGTGCTGCGGAGGTGGTGGCGGCGTGGGGGGCTCCCAGGCGGCCCCGGCAGCCCCGGCGGCGGCGGCCCCAGAGGCGACCCTGACCACGGGGAGGCGGCGGCGATGGAGTCCTGGCGGCCCCGACGGCGCCGACGCTTCCGGCGACGACGTCGACGCCGACGACGAGCCCCTCCCGCCCCCCGTCGGCGGCCCCACGCCCGACGGCGGCGGTCCTGGCGACGGCCCTGGCCTGGGCCCAGGCGAGGCGGCGGTGGCCCGAGCCCCAGCGACGACGCGTGGGCGGCCTCGGCCGCGTGACGGCGGCGGCTGGGGCGGCCAGGCGGCCCTGGCCCTGGGGAAGAAGCGTCGGCTCCGGCGGTGTGGCAGCAGCACCGCCGCTCCGCTCCCTCCGACCCCCACGCCCCCTGGAGGTGGTGGTCCTGCTGGTGGTGGCTCTCGCACCTGCACGGCCCCGGATGCGAGGGATCCCCCTCTGTGGCCGATGGTCTCTGGCCTCCTTCGCCTCCCGGGCCAGGATGATTGGCCTGCGGCTCGGGCTCGCACTGACGTCGCCGCCTTACTTGTGGCAGCTCCTCTGACGCATAATTTGATTCCAGCAGCCGTGGCAATGTTATCATGCTGCTGTGCGTACAGTACAGTGTGTGAGAGAGAGGAGAGAGAACAAAAAAAAACTTCTTCTTGAGGCCCTCAAGGAACGCTCTTGGGGAGCTCTCGGGCGTTCATGGGGCTGGTTTCGGGCTTTTGCTAATGATGAAGCTGGTGCCGCTCCTCTACCTGCCCCACCTCCTCGGAATGACGTGTTCGTCTTCCTCGTCGTCCACCTGATGTCCCCTCCTGGCCTACTTCCTCTTCCTCGTGGCCATCCTCTTTTTGCATCTCCTCCTCCATCACTTTTGCCATCGCGTCCTCCTCCTCCTCCTCCTCCTCCTCCTCCTCCTCCTCCTCCTCCTCCTCCTCCTCCTCCTCTAGCACCTTTTCCACCTCTCCCATTCCCCGTCCGCCTCCTCCGTGCTCACTTATTCCTTGTCAGGGTCGGAGAAGCTGGCCGTAAGGCGCTTACGTGGGTCGGAGACACTATACGTGTGGCCTCCCCTGGAAGAGCTGACGCTTGACGATGCGTGAAAATTCTGTTCCGCCCTGGATTCCCCCAACGGGAATACTGCATCTGCCTTCGGCGGCTCTAGGGGAGGGGTGAACACATGCCCATGCTGACGCCTGACTCTTCTCCCAGCGAGGGGGAAGGTGCAAGAAATTCAAGGCTCCACAGTGAAGGCCATGGTGTGTGTGTGTGTGGGTGGGGCTACCCCCCACCGACAGACACCAATCGCGCGCTGAACGTGCTCGCACCCCCGTCGCGGCACGCCGACACGGGAGTGCTTCCCCCCCGTCGAGGTGGGGGGCCTGGGGCCCTCTGCGCTCACAGAAGCGCGTGCGGGGTACGGCTCTGTGTTTGTGCCATCCTGGCTTTCTGCGCGCGAGCTCCTGGAGAACACCTCCAGCGGGCCATGCAAGCCGTACTTGCAGTTGTTGAGGTACACGCCGTCGTCCGTCTCGGGGTGAGCCTTGAGGAAGCCGCGGAGCCTCGGCGCCAGGAACACGGTGTCCGGATCCACCTTCACTGCCCGCCGCCCGCCGTGCAGCGGGGTTGGTGCGTGCGTGCGTCGGGCCCCCCTTGCTGCCTCTTGCCCGTGAGGCTTCCTGCGTGCGGCGCGCGGACCAGGGGTGCCCGCGTAGATCCTTCCTCAGTGCCTCCGCAGATCCTTCCCCAATGCCTAGACCCCAGTGCCTCCGCAGATCCCAATGCCTCCGCAGATCCTTCCGCAAGCACCTCCCAACAGTGCGTAGATCCTCCCCCTAATGCCTCCCGCAGAGCCTCCCCGAGAGCCCCGCGGTGGGGGCTGCCGGAGATCCTCTCGCCCTGCCCCCTGCCCCACTGGAGTATCCCCCCCCCCCACAGCGCGGCGGCGGATGCGCGCGGCAGCGCCAGAGGATCCAGTCATGGGCCATGAAGTAGCCGTCCTCGATGACCTTTGTCCACACTACGAGGAAGATCGGCAAGTTCAGCGCTGTCTGGAACTCACCGCCCATGTCGCACTTCAACGAGCTGTCCACTACGCGGGTCGTCACGCCTGGGCCGAGCGAGACGGCCTTGTTGCTGTAGATCGCAACCGCGTCGCAGGCGAAGAGGCTGGCTTCCTTGCGCAGCTGCCAGGAGAGCAGCTCCTCCTCGTAGCTGCCGGGCAGCATGAGAGCGAAGCAGAAGAGGGACTGGTACCTGCCCGCCAGCTCCTTGTCCACGTATGACCTGGGGGCGGGAGCAGCCCTGGCCGGCCCCGGCAGAGGCAGAGGCGCTCTCGGGCGGGAATCGAACGGGCCGGGCACGCCGCGGATCCCCTCCCGGTGCCAAGCAGCCCAGCGGCAGGCCGCCGGGGCGGGGAACAGAGAGGCCAAGACCAGTCGGGAGCGGAGCCCGGGGCACCAGGCACGGCCTCCTGCACGGAGCGGCGCCGCAGCCACACGGCGCCGCGGGAAGCCCGGGAGTCCTGGGAGCTCGGGGCCGCCTCTCGCCAGGGCCTCGGCACCCCGGGGCCGAGGTCGGGCGAGGAAGGGGGGGGACAGCAGCAGGGGGGGGGGTTCTATCGGGGGCGACGATGGGGGCGAATAGTCCAGGGGAGAGCAATATCATTGCACCGGCCTTGCAGAGGTGCTGCAGCGGATTCCTGCGTGGGTTCTCGCCCGAAGCGGCGAGCGGAAAACGAAGTGAATTTCGCGCGGATGTTCTGAGTCTTCATTCCTGGCCCAAAACATCCGCACGAAGTTCACCTCGAAATCCGGAACGAAATTCTCCAGGACACTCCAGGCCCACCCCATCGTTTTCCGAACGAGATCCGCTCTGCGAGGCTGGCGCCACGCCACATCGATTCAGCAGTGCCGATGGCTCATGCCCTCAGCAGAGCTCCCGGGCGAATGTGCGCAATGCCCGCCCCTAGACTACTCCAGATTTCGTAATAAAAGGGAGGGGGTCTCAACCCTCCCAGACGAGAAGTTTTAGAGACCCCCCCCCGTGGGAGAACCCTCAAAAACATCGTCCCCAGACCCCCCCAGGCCCTCCAAGATAGCCTGGAAGAGACCCCCCCCGAAATGAGACCCCCCTCCCTTTCTTACGAAATCTTGAGTATCCGCCCCGACCGTCGCCCCCGAGGGTTCGCAGATCAGCTCACGCGGCTGGTTCTCATGGTTCTCCTGGCGGCTCCCGGCGCCGCAGGGGCCCACGCCTCGATAGGAGAGCGCCCGGCGGCAAGGGCGGAGGCCGGCTGCCCGCGGCAGCCTTCGCGCCTCCGACCTCTCCTGGGGCGCGACCTGCCGGGGGGGCGGCTCGGGCCCCGAAGGCCCCCGCTTGGGCCCCAAAGGGCCCCTTCTGGGGGGCCGCAGAGGGCCCCTCTTCTGCAGCCCTCGCTGCCCCCCCTTTTTATCGCCGCCCCATTCTACGTGCCCTCCGATTCCTCGCACGGTGTGCACAGGAGAAGGAGCCCTTGGATGAAGAATCCAGGGTCTGGAAGCCAGTGGAACTCCAATCGTGGATCGGCCATGGATATCACCGCCGCCCTCATTGGATAAGGAATCCTCCAAGGTCTGGCGCCTCCTGGGACTATTCCTGAACAAACGCCTCCACCGTACCCCCGTTCGTCCGGCCCGACTGGCGGGACCTGTCGTCGTAATACAGCCTGCCCATCTTCTTGCCGATGGCCCACCTCTGCCCCGCCTGCCGCCGGTCGCACACGCGCATGTCCTCGGCTACACGCAAGAGTGACCGTGGGAAAGAGTGACCTTTGGTGCGCGGCTTTTTCGGGGCCACGGGGGAACCAAACACAAGCGCGCAAGACGCTACTATCGTATCGCGTTCGGCGATCGAGGGACCCCAATGGGCCCGCACCAAAGGTCACTCCGGCGAAGGGACACTCTTACGTCTAGTCGATGTCCACGCTGCTGCTGTCCGAGGCCGGCTCCGGCGCGTTGAGGCACAGGCCGAACCACAGGACGATCTGAAGGATGAGAAAAAGGGGGTCTCCCGCGCAAAGGCACAGCGCCCTTGCAGCTGAACCTGGGACAGAAGCACATCCCTCAAGAACGCAAGGCCCTCCGCCGGGCAAAACGCACAGAACATCCAAGGGTATCCTCCACAGGGTGCACAGCAACATCCAACGAACACGGAACACATCCAGGAGACTCTCCCCGAACCAACCTCGATCTTCTACTGCAGCGACCCGACCTCACGCAGCGGCTACCGTTATGTCGGGCGTGTCCCCCTACAGGGGGATTTTCGACGAAAAATTAAAAATGCCTCCCCCAAAAGATACAAAAAAATAAAAATAGTCCCCAGACTATGTTTGGACTATTGCTTGACTATGTTTGGGGTGTTTTTTTATGTTTCGTCGAAATTCCCCCTGTATGGGGGACAGGCCCGACTTAAGGCCACCGCGGGCCGCCAGCGTGGCACACCGCGTGGAGCAGCGGGCGCCCACGCGCGGCAGGCCCGCGCGAGAGAGTCCTTCGCGGCCGCTCCCGACTTCTCCTCCGCCGCTCCGCCTGGGAGTCGGTGTCGGAGTAGGACCACTGCTGGTTCCCGTTGCTGTCCTCGCACTTCTCGATCAGCACCATGCTGTACTCCACGTCGCCCGCCTTGGCGGTGAGGCACACGCCCTCGGGGGCAGACGGGCGCGGCCTCGAGAGGCGGATCTGGCCCGAGACCTTGTCGAAGGTCCACAGCTGGTCCTCGTCGCCGATGTCGCACGAGGACATGTGCACCTTGTCGCCGAGCACCCCGGACTCCGGGGCGGAGAGGCAGATGCCGTGCTTGCTCTTGACCCAGCCGGCGTCCGCGGACACCTGGGCCGGCCCAGTGCAAGAGCTGTCCGGCCGCAGTCCGGAGACGACGCCCTTCGACTTGCGCTTGTCGGGCTTCTCCGTCTCGCCTTATGGTGGGCGAAGAGCGTGCCCATAGCCATGCTCTTGCGGCCCGGATGAGTCGGCCGCGACACCACGCATGCAGACAAGCGCTGCGCCGCTGCTTGGCGCGATTGCCTCGCGCGGAGCGTGATCATGCATGGAATCGCGGCTACGTGCCGAGACCACGAGGGCATGGACATGGGCAATTTCGTCGCTCATGGTCGCCTAGCTTTTTCAAGAAGCACACGTCCGTCAGCCCCGTCACACCCCGCTTCTTGCCCCACGTCCAAGCACCGCACTGAGAGTCCGCGGCGCACCTCTCTGCGCACAGCTGCTCGCTCTTAGTGTCCGAGATTTCGTAGAGGGACGCCTGCGTCCAATAATCCACGTCCTCTGCTCAAAGGGCCGGCTCTGGAAAGTGCGTCATCACTTGAGGGCGGGGCACATATTTCGCCTCTGGCGGTGGATCCGCCCACGGTTTACCTCCGCTAGCTACTAACCTCCAAGAGCCTAGAGCCTCGATACATCCAGTGGAGCAGTGGAAACCCCGCCCCCCCCCCCCCCCCAGAAAAGCCACTTGACCCACCGTCGACCAAAAAAACTGGCTTCCCCGTTTCCTCCTCCTCCTCCTCCTCCTCCTCCTCCTCTTCTTCCTCCTCCTCCTCCTCCTCATCCTCCTCCTACCTTCACCTCCTCCTCCTCCTCCTCCTCATCCTCTTCTCCCTCGTCCTACCTAGACTCTCTCTCTCTCTCTCTCTCTCTCTCTCTCTCTATATATATATATTACCCTCTCTCCGTCCCTGTCTCTCTCTCTCTCTCTCTCTCTAGTCTCCAGAGCCAGGTCCTCGGCCCCACAGCGCTCCGTGACCTGGCGAGACCGGACGCTGCTCTGAGGGAAAACGAACTCCGTACACCCACCGGTATATACAAAATCCGGGTGTACACATTTTTTCGTTGCTGTCCCAGGAAACGGGGAAAAGTATACACCGCACCACCCCGACGTCCTCCCTGACCCTCACAGAAGTTCTGGGATCAGAAAACAGCACTTTCCCTCTCTCTCTCTCTCTCTCTTCTCTATCTGTATCCCTCGTTCTCTCCCGTCTGCCCCCTCCCTGATGAGGGGGAACGGTAAGACCGAGGGAGCCCGCTCAGGTGGGGAAATCTGGACCTGCAATCGGCAGTGCATCGCCGATGGATCAGTGATGGACCATCCGCAGGGAACTCTGGCCTTGGCGCCCCCCACTCCATAAGCTTCTCCGCCAAAAGCAACCTGGACCCCCACCGCGCCTCGCACCCCCATCACTCGGACTGGGCG